AATATCTTTTGGGCAGCGTGATTGATTCCTGTGGATATGAATTTCTTTCAAGTCGAGTATAAATTGGAGCCTTTGTTCTGTCACAGCCACGCTTGTTCCTGTTGTTCTGCGGAGGCGGAGCAGCAGTGGCTATCACAACAGGCAGTAGTTTCAGACTGGGGTGTAGCGTAACCATAACTGGATCTGTTTTTAACCAGCACCCACTGAAGTATATTTGGCTGCACTTTCAGAGGTTGGTTTGATCCTAATATCTGCAGCACCTGAAACACTTGTGAAAATTAAAGGACCAGCTGTATGTTCTGGAGTGGTTTGAATTGAATTTTTTTTAAATCTCATTTTTAAATTCTTTCTACAAGGTTTCTGGAGACCTATATTCTCCTAGGGTGCAATGGTTTTACTGCCTTTATGGCCCAAATTATAGAATCAAATTATCTTTACACAGCAAAGCCATTTCTTTTGTGAAGTTGTGAACTTTACCTGAGAAGAATTGGTTCTGTACTAATCATGTTGGTCCAACATAAGTAACCTTAGCTATCTTCCTCACTCCTGCATTGACAATCCATCACAGGGATCTTCTGTAGCCCATAGAAGGTAAATGTCAATTGATGTTAGTATTCAAAACTACCTCATCCGAATGGAATCTATCATGGCATCCTGTAATCCGTTCAGAGCTCAGTATGAATCTTTTCCTGAACTTTGCAATGGCTGCTTGGGAGAGTTCCCATCTGGCAAGAAATTGTGAAGGAGGGAGAGAAAAAACAAGAAGAATGAATAAGCATTAGATTGCTAAATATATATAAGGGCCCTGACTCCAAATGCAGGTCTGCATTAAATTCTCCAAACATGTAGGTCAATAGTTTGGGCCGATTGCTTCAAGATGGAGGAAAGCCTTGCTGGTTGATTGACCAAAGAGCTGGGATTCACTCCTCCTACAGAAATATCGGTGGACCGTACCATTTGAACTGATGAGAATCACATGAATTGGTAAATAAGAGAGAGATAAAAGATTGATACATTGCCAAATGTTATGCTAATTGCATATATTGTTTTATCCTTTCAGATTTTGAAGACCTCTTTGATGATGATGACATTCAATGATTTGTACTTCTCACTTGACCATCTGAACTGCTTTATACCTGAGTATGAATGCCCGGGAAAACATTGCAACTAAACAGCAGCAGCAGTATGCTTTGCATGAACAACATTCAAGACAGGAGAGTTTGAAAATGAAAAAAAAGCAAATTAGACACACCTGTATCGACCCTGTACCGAATCAAAGCCAACTCGTTAATTTTATGTGTTGCACAGAGATTTGGGATAATGTAACCTCGGTTTATAAACCGTGAATTATTTAATTGAAGTAAAATGGAAAAAGCATGCTTTTTGGGTCTTTATTAAAAAATAAGACAACAGATGTTACAAATAAGATGTTACTTTCTTTCCAGGAAAAAAAACCAACCAATCTCTCATTCCTCCAGGAGCACAAAATACCTTTTATTTTTCAGATTTTTGTTAACAATTTAAAACTAATTGAAAGGCTCAGTCTTGCTGGAACATCTGCCGGTTAAACAGTTTGCTCATAATTATTAGAGTAAAGTCCTATTCTTAGTTTCATGGCGGCAAACCACTCAGTTATTATTGTTCTGTTGCATAAGTGCAGACTCACAAATTCCGAGTGAAGTTGAAATTTTGTTCAAAACGTACAATCTGGAATTATTACAGTGTTACAAACTTAAATGGATCAAAGTCATTTTGGCATTTTTCATTTTTTTCTGTTTAACTTGAATGCTAATACCTACATACAGCAAGTGTCTGATGTATTATTACTGTGAACTCACATGTTTGTTTCAGCTTGTAGTTGGTCTAAAACCGTAGATTCTGAGATGGAACTAAATTATCCATGGGTTATAATTACTGTTGTGACAATTTGAAACTGTGCTATATCTTTGACATGTCGTCATTGATGTTTCATTTTTGATGTTGCTTCCATTGCAAACCAAAGTTGTACAGTTGCAGATAAATCACCTCATTGAATAGTGTCAACACCATACATGATCTGATGGGCTCATTCTACCGAATCCCTGCCTGTCCCTATTCACATGAGCATGTGCGTGAGTGTGTGTGTACACATAACTGTTTTCACAATAGGAGCAATACTCTGAAATTGCTCCTATAGTGAGCGTAGAACTCTTAACATTGGGTAACTGTTGTGAGTGCCTTATGATCAGCAGGATTGTTTTGGCATATTGTCTTTTCACTTATAGCACTTCACATTTATTGACACCAATCCAGAACTGATAACAAATAAATTACAGGTTAGGCTATATTGATGTATTCCTATAAACCAACCTTCAGCAAACCTCAGATGTTGTACTTTAGTGTTTTTAAAAAAACAAGTTGAGCAAAACCTTAACTTAAAAACTAAAATCTGGAAATCTAAACCATGTTATTCACTCAGCACATGAAAGAATATGTTCGATACAGATTTGATGGTGTCCATTTATTTACAGTAAGTTATTGGAATGTATTCATGCTGCCTAACCTGTAATTTACAAAATGATCTTTTAGTTACTAGTTTTATAGTATTATTAGACTACTTTGTCAGAAGAATTTGTGATCACAACAATAGTTTGGATGAAAAGAGGCCTTCGGGTTACTTGAAATCATCCTTCCCAATACTTAAGGTATGTGTTCATTTTTTACAGTAGTTACTATAATCAACAAATGGAAACCAGGGTATTTCTAGGCTGAATCACTGCTTTTTTTAAAAAAAGTGTTCAAAAGATGGATTTCTGTTCTCCATATTTGGATTTCGTATTTGCTGAAATATTCTCTATATAGCATCCTGCTCAAATCACACCAGTTGCAAAGTTATTTTAGTTTATTGACACTGTCAAAAATATTGACAAGCTAATACCTTCAGAATTATTGGAAATTAACCTGACTCACCTTTTTTATCTGAGTCTTAGCATCTTCCGAGTACACTCCGATATGCTACCCTGCTTTGAAGGGTGCTATATAAATGCAAGGTGTTGTTGGGTTTTCAAACTTACTACCAGGAAAGGAAGTGTTATTGTACCCAGAAATATAGCTATATAAACATGCCATGTAACCCAAGGTTAGCCAAATATTGTCACAGTAGTGGGCATTGTAATCTGTTGAATGGATACTTTGCTTCAGGTAGAAACTGGGTAAAGTGGAGAATTTTTTTTAAAAAAAGCTCTAAAAAGGATAACAAATAGAATGCCTGATTGTTTGGAATAAGATTCACAAAATAATCCATGTTTCATTAAGTCAAGACTTCAATTTAGGAGCCTGGGCTTTCAAATTGAATCATTTTGTTAATGCAGGTTTTTTTTAAAAAAAAATCTAATTGGAGAAAGATCTAAACAAAAAATCCGGATCAAAGCAAACTCTTGGCAGTGTTCCTGATTTATGAAATGTTTTATGATGTTTCAGTTTTACTAGCACCATAACAAGTAGTGGTGCAAACATTCCATGTTTCCAAATCTGGATCTGGGTACATTTTTTTTGTTCACCCTGACGTGTTACATATAGAGGGATTATACAAAATACGTCCTATATTAATAAGGAAAGGGAGCATTTTTCTTGGTTTCCGTGCAAATAAACTAACCTTAAAACTATTTATAACTATCACCACACGTGAGACATCCTGATCAAGTAATTATTTGAACTTTCCTTTATAAATTTCTCCTGTCCAGACACCTAGATGCACTAAAGCTTCTATTCCCCCACTCCCCTCCCACTACCATATAAAAAATGCGTGTGTTTTCACCAAAGCACACACAGGTAGCGATTTGTTCCACAATTGTGGAAGTAAGTCGTCTCCATTTAGTTTTTTTCTTCAGGTTTCCTGGTCGACATTGGGAATTGCTTCACTCACATTTCTTAAAATTATCAATGAGCAGTTTAAATTTCCCCATTTTCTACTGACTTCAGTTGGAGCAGCAGTTTGATTTTTGATTTCTGTGTCTCTGGGATGAGGAGTGGGAAAAAAATCAGCCAGGGGTTCAGCTAATTTATGACCTCTTTCTTGCCCTACCTTCACAGGTAATCAAATTGCCTGTCAGCATTCACTATTATACAGCGGGCACTATTATACATAAAGACTGACCACTTAGTTGAGATGTACAGAACTGGACAAGTCATGGTACAGCGAGGGAGATGAGGTCCAGATCAGCCCTGATCTTATAGAATGGGGGAACAGGGGCTGAATGGCCTCCTCCTCTTCCTATATAATAAGCAAGGCAAGTCAGTACATTCAAAACAAGGGGAGGAAAACGGATAAGTAAAAATTTTCGAAATATATTTCCAATTATCGTCCTTTTCTTGTCTTGCTAAAAGAGGAGTGCGGCCCAAGCTCAAATTTGCTGATAATATCAACTCTGCTTATTCCTGCTAATCTGACCATGGCCTTATAACAGTTTTCAGCCAAGAGACATGATCTTTCGTGGCATTTTACAAAACCATACAATTGTCACAGAACGAATGACAGCCATAAATTAATCCTTAATTTTGCAAATGAGGAAATACTTTGTCCAAAGCATCAGCCGAGGGGCATCAGATCGTGTTTTTGAAAATTCGGTATTGTATGATACTGTGCCTCAAATTCATGGTATCTAACCTCATCAAAGCACATGTGGTCTTAATAAAAATGGGGATCAGTTAACCAGTAACGGTTGTTTGCAAACTTGTAAAATTATTCAATTTCTTTTGTTTTGGAAGCTGTTAAATTGTTTCATTTCATTTTGATGAAGGATGGTAACTGCATCTTGTACTGTTTACCAACAATTCACCAATGCAAATAAAGTTGCTGGGGTTCTCTTTAATACTCCTTGTTTCATAAAACCAATTAGCAATGTATATTACGTTAATTTTAATTTACTTAGGATTTAAACTTTCATTTTAGATTTCTCTTTCTGCCAAATATTAAATGTTTGATGTTATTGAAAACCTCTGATTATGATTCGTTCATCTAAATTATGCTGTTCATTTCCTTTTCTCGTTTTTTTTTAAAACGTGGCTTTCTCAAAAAGCCTTAATGTGCTGAACACAAATTGCAGCCTATTAAACCTCTTAAATACTGCCTTTAATAATACCTTTATGATTGCTTGGATGGCTGCTGAGTAAACTTGCCCAGCCCAAAGGAACCAATCTCTTTCTGCCTGCCAGCAGGTTACCTGCATGTGATGTGCTTTTTGTTTTTGATTTAAAAAGGTGATATTTGAGTTTTGTTCCTTGTTAGACTCAGCCCAGCTGAAGAGGTTGCAGAAACACAGAGGGAGAGCTTTGGCAGGAATTCAGCAGCATTAGCTGTAAGAGCCCACCAGCCCTTCTCCTGGTGAAGCTTTGCTTTGATCTAAGTGCAGAACAAAACTAGGTTATGATAGTCTTGAAGAAGTAGGTAAGTTACTTTCAATTCGATCATTTATTATACACATGTTGGTAATTTTCCTATTTTCTGTACAAATTGAGAAGTCTGAAGCAATGATTATATTTTGTGCAACGCTCTGACAGTAACGATTCATTTTGGTGTTAATTGAATATGTAGTTTAATTTGTAAACTGCAAAATGTCTAATGTCTTAATTCCATGGGATCATTGATGCAAATCGTTGCATTAATTCGTACTGCTTTTGATGGGCAAGGCTTATCGATTACTAGACAGTTTTGTTTCCTGTTGAACATAACCTGAATACACACAAAAAAATAGATTTTAAGGAATTTGAAGGAATAAAGAACTATAATATTGGGTGTTTAATTAGATTTCACCAATCTTGTCTATTAATTTAAAAAGAAAATCTTGCCATTTTCTCCTTATTCAATAAGACTCTGAATTGAAGATTTCACTGGTTTCTGGATCAGAAAGATGTGGGTTGGATTTTGTCATTTCAAATGAGTTGTTTGATCCAACCTTGATTAAATATCCCATATTAAGTGGAGGAGGGGGGAGGAAGATAATTACACCAAGGTGTTTGTCAAGCTTGCTCCTATCTGTCCTTCTAAGGGTTTTGTGAATTAAAGACATGTTGACTGTCATTAATGTCTCCCGAGAGCCATTTCAGTCCCAGAGAAACCCCTCTTGTCTGGTTTCTCAAGGAGAATTCTGTGCACGTATCAAACTTGAAAGGCTGAGTTGCTCTGGGATTTGAACCCATAACGTTTTGGTCCTAAGTTAACCTACTGAGCTGCAGTATTCAGTGCAGCAAACTCTGGTGGATTAATTTATTCTAGGGGGCAAGTTCTTGCTACGCAGATAAAATGTGTAAAAATGAAACTGAGGAGAAATTAATCTAGAGTTTAATATGTAATTAATACTTTTTAAAAAAAGGGTATTTTGACTGTATATTCTGTTCAC